TCAGTACCTGACGCTCATGTACGAACGGTTCACAGAGGATTTTAGATAAGACATGACAATTAAGCGATTACAATTAGTAAGATTACTAAGAATTTCCCTCATTTAAAATGGCAGCGATCAAGTGACTTGTAGACCTTGTGCAGACTACCGTGATGTCTTTCGATGTAACATGTTTTAAAAGAAAGCTTTTGCTAGAATATGAACCTTTTCTGCTCGATCCTGATTGAGACTAAGGCATATTATAATAATTGCCGCCAACTGTATAATGAAAGCGACAGTAAAATTAGCTGCAATAACCGCAAATAATACTGACGATTTGGCTGTTCAGTGATATGAGTATTGTAGGGACATATCCATAACAAAAGTGATAAAATTACCCAACCGGATCACATACAAACAATAATGAAGCTATGTGGTTGAGGCTGACTGAGTTTTTAAGACCTTATCACAGCTCCAGAGACCGACTATTACGTAGAAGTATAGATGAGTCCCTCTACCTTATGCATTACAATTTTGGAACTTTTGAACCTTTTTCTAACCTTGACAAGTTTTTGGATCATATGAAAGAAGTGAATCCACTTTAGTTATTTGTTTTGTATAATATATTTTTGATCTACACTAATTGTTTTCTGATTGGCTAACACTTTTCAAGGTCACGTTAGATTCGTTCAAAGGTCGTCCATAAATTGTAGTCTCGCCGATCTTGTGCGGACTACCGTGATGTCCTTCGATTTTACATGTTTTATTAGAAAGCTTTTGCTAGAATATGAACCTTTTCTGCTCGATCCAGATTGAGACTAAGGCATATTATAATAATTGCCGCCAACTATATAATAAAAGCACTAGAAATATTGGCTGCAATAACCGCAAATAATACTGACGATTTGGCTGTTCAGTGATATGAGTATTGTAGGAACGCATCAATAATAAATATGATAGATTTACACAACCCGAGTACAGAAATAATATTGAAGCTGTGGTGGAATCCGAGAGCGTTTTTGTGGCCTTATCATGGTTCCAGAGACTGAATATTATGGAGCCATACAGACGAGTTCCTCTACCTTATATATTACGATTTTAGAACCGTTGAAATTCTTTCTAACGTTGACAAATTTTTGGGTCATATAAATGAAGTGTATCTACTTCAACAATTTGGTTTTTTATAATATATTTTTGCTCCATGCTAACCGTTCGCTGATTGGCTAATATTTCTCAAAATCACTCAAGATTCATTCGAAGGTCGTCCATAATTTATGGTCTCGCCGAAAAATCTCTTGGGTTGTTTGGAAGGATGGAATTACTGTAGTGTTCATGTTCTACTGTGCAATGTTTCTCAAAGGTATCCTGATCACTGAATAATGACGATTGCCATAGTTGACTATTTTTAAGTGATGAACAAATTATTTAAATGAACATTCTAAGTACTCTTTGTTAACAAGTGTCAACTAGCTTGAGTCCACAATTTCTTGCCAATCTCTTCCAATCAACTTATATTACAAATAATCTACTCGATATCGAGTTGCTTAGATTAGTAGGTCCACTACATATTGATTGGTAAGATTTGATCAGCATTCAACGGATTAGACAAACACGACAGTGGTCACTACTCGGCAATCAACTAATATAACCTATTTATATATATACAGTGTGTGAGCGGATTGTTTGATGATAGGAGCTGTTTTAGTTCAAAGAATGCTTCTTGGTATTCGGCTGAGCAGAACCATTTGGTATCTTTTATTAGTAACCCGTTAACGGGAGTACGGAGTCGATGCAGATCTGTAAGGAAAACGCAATGATGAATAACCATTCCCAAGAAAGAACGTAAAGTTGATACATTAGTCGGTGAAGGAATGGACTTGATAGCCTCGACGTTTTCATGATCAGGTTTTCTTTCCTTTTCTATCGATTACACTACACGTTGATTGGTAAGATTTGATCAGCATTCAACAGATTAGACAAACACGACAGTGATCACTACTCGACAATCAACTAATATAACCTATTTATATATTTGTAACATCATATAGTAGGGGAAGAAGGAAATAAACATCATAATCACTGTGAATTCCATTCTAGGTGATTTTTCAACACAATCAAACACTATGTCTTCTATTCATTATCGATCTCACTGAATTAAACAAACTCAATGGAAATGGCCACATATTCTCACATCATCTTTTTTAATATCTTCCATATGTTTTCGATTGTATTATTGAATCGACTTCAGTTTACCTTCTCTTCATTTTACTTTATTGTTTTCTCCCTATTGTGTCACAGAATTCTCTCGTAAATTATAGTTTAGTTTATATGATGTCTAACTCTGCCAGTAGCTCTTATAGAGTTACTGCCGGACCCAAGCCCGGATATAGGAGGAGGGTTGTGCATAGGGTTAGCGACCCCATCCTGTTAAAAACTAACTCGCTGAGAAAACGCTAACCAGAACTGGTGCGCAGCCCATGCTCCTTTTCTAGGGGCAATAGGCATTAGTAAGTAAGTATATAACTTACTTAAAATGCCGCCATGTCAATCATATTACAACCATTAACTTTGTACCTTCATATCAGTCTTAGTTGAATTATTTCTCAACAATATCTATACCCTGATTATCTGTTAAACCTTAGTCTAATCATTCAAAGAATTCATCTTTTCTATTAGTTGTATTACAGTACAAAGATCATTATATCTCCTTTCATATTAATAAATAAATTGCAATTGCAAATCAACATTCATTCTCTATTATCCATACAGTTTCAATACTTATCAAAATACTGCTGTTAATCATATCACTATAGGTAGTACTCTTGCCATTATTCAAAAGTGTCAATCAGATATAATTTGATTGTTACGATGAAATGTAAGTGAATAATATTGATTGAATAGAAAGATTTATTAACTTAGAGGCATTTGGTGTTATTTACATGTATCTTCTCATTGTTGTTTAGGACTACAATGAATCGGTCTATCTCTTATTGACATATGTACATAGTGTATGGTTTGCTTCGATGTTGTCTTTATCACAAAAACCATAAGTAAAGATGGATCGTGGTTAATAGTGAAATCCAATTTGATGTGCGTTTCATCCTATTTTTGACTCGTCAGACGGATATCCTCGCATCTCAGAGTTAATGTTCAACTATACATCTTTGTTCATAAAATCAATTTCATTAGTTTTACTTTCATATTCTATTTAGATCCAGTTGAAAAACATAAAGAAAGTTGTTTAACAGATGTGAATAGTAACCAAGTAAGTAATTGATTGATTTGTTTATTTATTCAATTACATCATAATATGAATATCTAGATTAGAATAGAAGCAAATCAACAAGTAACCAGTATCTATTTTTATAATAAGGTAAATTATTAAAACAAAACCCAAAAATGTATGATACTTAATTTGTAAGGCAAATGCTATAGCTTTGCTACAACTACTAATCATATGAGTAATGCATTTTCCTTTATTATTATCGTAAGTTCATTTTATTCACTTGGAATCATCTGAACATCTGATTCTATTTATATTAAGTAGTACAATGAAAGTATGGTTACTAACTGCGAATTGGTTTGTTGGGCTATGTTTGTAAGTTATTAATATTATGGTTTATTTATTTACGTTATGGTAAGTTGAATAAGAAGAGAATAAGGACAGAAAATACAATCGAACTTAACACCTGGGTTTATTCTATTAAGACTTAGATTTCAAAGTTGCCGAAATTACGATTGTTTCGGTCAGCTTGATGAAAGGATATAACACGATCATATCATAACCCCTGCTTCATAGTCATCAATTCACCCTAACAAAATTTAGTCAAAATCAAGTTGTTCACATTTGAGACTGGTGAATCCGTGATATAAGATAACCATTATCCATTTCATTCAATGGATAACTATCACAATCTGTACATGATTTACCCATATCTTTCCAACTATCTTTCGATCTGTAAAATATCAGTCATTGTTTCTGCATCAGTCTGAACTTTATTTTCAATCTATATTTACTGTGTATTACTACAGCTTTTTAGGACTCTTCATTGATTTGGAGATGGGTCTCCTACCACAACTACAATTTAAATTTCCATGGAACTACGTACTATTGGTATTTAATGTAAGTAGTTAAGAATGATACTTGTGAATATTGATCATTGACACCATTATATGATTTGATCTCACAATATCTATTTCGATAGTATATATTTAGGTCAATTCTCTTCTAATACAGGAAGACATTCATTCTTCTGAACCATTCTAATTCAATGATAATGAATTATGTAAAGCTGATATCTCATTACGAAAATTTACGTGGCTTCATGAAATTGACTTTGTGGCTGATGTTAAGTAGTTGGATAAATTCAAAAGGAAACCTTGACCATACGTGTTTTTAATAGTTGATACTAGTCAATACACCACATTCATCATATTGACGACTATCAGGTAGTATGACACTTAGTTCTAGACCTTCCTATTAATCGCATACAACAATCAAAGCATACTGAATGCAACGCAATGATTAGTCATTTAGATTAGTATACATATTTTAGTTGGATAAAATGTATCAGTCAGCCATCTTCGAATTGACTCTTCACACATCTATAATTGATTATCGTGATTCAGTGAGATAAGCCGATATAGTAATTTGTCAATCAATGCTCACTCATATCTTGTCGCTTGTACCTACTGTAACTAACCTTGTTCCTATAATAACGTCCTTAGTGTTTTACAGTCTTCAAAGCGTCCATAGTAATTTGATATATGGAAGAGACAATCCGCATAAGGTGTGGACTGTGAGGTGTGTATTCGACGTTAAGTGGTTCGTCACACTATTCCCTTCTAATTCGAGTAGCCTCCGAATCATTCGATAGAGATCATCTACCTTCATGATCTATACCATCCTGTCGAATATTACTACATATCTGTTACATTCAATCAAATAATTAATGATCATTTGGATGATAGATAGTCTGTCACGTTGATTCTCATTTCATTTGTTTATTTTTGTTTGATAGTCGATGATTATCTCGATCACAGCTTCAAAGTCACTTTCTGAATTGGAAGTTTTATGGATTCCAAGTAGTTGGATTATTACATTGGGAATCACGTTACTGACTTTATTATTCGGCAGATTAAAACGATTCGATATACAAAGATCTTTATATACATTCTTTACTGCTATATTCACTTTACAAGCAGCAGTTTATATAGTTCTCACTGTATTGAATCATTTTAGTTGCTATAATGTAAGTGAGATTTCTATTATTGAATAATTTTATAGTTTGAACAATGTTATTTGGTATTTATCTTATTGTGGATAAATCAGTAGGATATTGTCTTATGGAGTTTGATATCTAACATTTAGATGTTTAAAACATCACACTCTATAGATTCATGTTCATTTCTTTTTTTCCTATTCATAACAAACATCAATGTCATCCCTTTACAATTGTTTATTGGTAAGCTAGCCATTCTGAATACACGAACATCTTCATGATATTTTCTAGCTATCACCAATTTCTGTTTGTAAATGCAACTGATTTTGAAACGATAGAATCATTACAATTGACGTTGACTAAATGAAGAAACACCATATCAACACATAAAGTTATTAACTGGTTTCCCAAATCACTAGTTAGATGCTCTCATATTTGCAGTGATTATTCAGTTTATGTTAGTCAGTAATGTTAATTGTCACTGAATTTATTTTGCTTACTTACTTCTGTTTTTCGAAAAGAAGTGAAGGTTGCCACCTTGCATTCTCCAACACACTCTGTCTCGTGCCTTCCTTTCTAATCCTTTCCAATTGTTGTTCATTCTTCCCATGTCTGTCTCCATTTCTCACAGTAATGTGTTCTTTGGTTTTCCTCTTCTAAGTTGAACCTCAAGGTTCCATGTTAGTGCTTGCCTTGTGACGCAGTTGGGTGATTTCCTCCATGTGTGTCCTATCCACTTCCAACACTTCTCCCTGATTTTATCCTCCAATGGAATCTGGTTTGTTCTCTCTCACAGTAGATTGTTGCTGATAATGTCTGGTCAACGGATCCGAAGTATTTTGCTTTTCCCTTTGTGTATGTCGAGGCCTACTGCTGTTGAAGTTACTAACACACTGATCGTCTTCTCCTGCATTTGTTGGTGCGCGTGTGATAGATGAACCGGATTATCTGTGAGATCCAGATCGTTCAACTTCATTCTAGCCGTCCACTATGTCCCATGCTCTCCCCCAGATGTTGACGTCTTCATAATCCAATCGACCATCAGAAGAAAGAGGAGAGGTGAGAGTGAGCAACCTTGAATGACATCGGCGTTTACCTCTAACGAGTCTGTCATCTGTCCTCCATGCACGAATTTTCAGTTTAATCCATTACAGGATTTCCGTATGATATTGACTTTCTTCTCAAGCACACCATAGTGTCTTAGCAACCTCTGTAGTGTTGTCCTGTCTTCGCTATCAAATGCATTCTCGTAGTCAATGAAGTTGATGTAAAGTGACGAGTTTCATTCAATTGATTGTTCCACAATGATCCGTACAGTTGCGATTTTGTGTGAACACGACCAATCCTCACGGAATCTATCCTGTTGATCTCGAAGTTGGACGTCTATGGAGTTCTTAACTCTGTTTAACAACACCTTGTTGTAAACGTTTCTTGGTACTTATAGAAGAGTGATGCCTCTGATTGTCACCGAATAGTAAAACTAAATCTACACTTATTCATCCAGATAAATTTCAATTTGTATAATAGAAGTTATTATTATTATTATTTTGAAAAGTCAATCTTGATTATTTCAGGATTTGGAATGCTACTGACAATCATCTATGTAAGTAATTCAGAAGTATAACCCAAATCTTGTTATCACTTTTAATGGCTGATATTTGCAATGTCGTTGATATGATCAATTGAAGATTGTTCATCTCCAAATATGAATCCACTGAACGATTGTCTTCACTTCCTATGTTATGACAAGTTGATTTCATTCAGGATATACCGTCTACCAGTGTTTCGCTCTGTCTATAAGTCATGAGCAGTTTTTGTCTGAGTTCGGTTAACATGAAATATGTGCGCAAGATTTCTTTACCGTCTCCTATCCAAAATACATTAAGCGTTTATGTATTCTTCATACCTTTGCTCCTCGTCGAAGATTTACTACGTAGCATTGTAAATTCTGTTCTTAGTATTTCTCATTAAATATCACCACTGTTTTGAGCAGTTGTTTGTTTGAAGATACACTAATCAGTTACAGTAGAGTGACCAATACTTAGTCATCGTATCGTCAGGGTCAAGTTTTCAAGGTTTCCACTTACATGAAACTTAACACTGCATTGCACTTTAACTGATGACAGATGATTATTATTGTAATGTTGAAACGCATATTTGTTCAAGGTTCTGGATAAATGTGCGAACGTAATTAGATGAGGGCGTTTTTAAACTATACTCTGTACATGCTATTAACAATCGAGTGATCTCAATTGGATTAACGTTGAAAATTATAAACTAATGGATCATAAAAGGTGAAACAGTCGATTTCGGAGATGTGTACGAATGAACGTTAACTAGATATTCTTCTGGTTGAGGACTGTTCACGAGACTCAAAGCTGTAGTGTTCCATTTCTGACATATTAATGGATAAGTACTTCTGAAAAACTATATAAAAAAAATTCACTGTTCACTATTTCATTATGATCAGTGTTACATCGACTTATGAGTACACGTGAGAACTCTCAAATTCAGAATGCTCTTACATGAATTACACAATTAATATGTGTAATATGTTATAATGAGTAGAAAGTACTTGTGTACTGTTATCTGGTATTCTGACGTACTGAAGGAAGATTAAGTGAAATTGAAAAATTATGTGAGAGATTGTGCAGTTGACAAATACATTGGTGAAGTAGATGAGTTAATTATTAAAGAGTTGTTGACTAATAAGAACACACACATTCATTCTTAAATAACTCACTACAATTTCACAGAATGCTTTTGCATTAATCATTTTCAGATGATCAAGTTAGCAAATTAAAGAATAGAGAACAAATAACATAACTATAATATTTTGTTCTAGTATGGGACTACTTGATAATGTACATCCAGGATTTCACCCACGAGATTCGAACCCATAACTGTTCGATCAAATGCTTCCATGTTTCCAAGCCATAAAATGTATTCAACCATTAAATTACTAAAATCTTCACAAATCACCCTTCTAATTGTAATATTTTGTGTTTAGTTATAGCCGTCATTGAAATTGACAGTAACATACATAATTTAAACTATGGTTATACACATGGTTTTAGATGATTGAAGTTGAAACATGATACTGATCAATATGTACATTGATTTCAGGAAATGGCAATTGCAACTCAAGTAATTTTTCCAGGTGATAAACGATTCGGTTTTCGAGGTGATCAATATTTTCTATTTGGATTAGTACTTGCAACAATAATTATTTGGATGAACATGATCATTTCAAGTGAAATAACACTTATTCAACATGTATCCAAGAATGCAAGCCAATATATTTCAGAGAAACAAATGGATATGTAAATGTCTATACACACTGATTGATTATTGTCCACGAGGGTTATCTTTTGTTATGTGAAACTGTTATTGGGATCACAAGATCAGTTACATTTAATTTGCAATGCTAAAAATTGTAACCAAAATTGCTTTTTTCCTATGTGATTCATCAAATGAATTTTCTCTTATGCATCTGTAGGTGATGATTCTAATGTTGCATATACGAAGTTGAACTGCTACGTTACATTCTGCTTCTTCTATCATGAATATAATGTTTTCTCATAAGTTGTCTTCTCTCTGTGTTATGGTGTTATACACTAGTTCTTGTTATTGATATACACGGAAGAACCGGTTGTATTATTGTGAAGGAGAACACAAGTGGGAACATTCAAATATATGAGATTACAAAATTACAGAATATCTTAGTCTAATCATATAGTAAATAATAACCATATAGTAAATAATACATCTGCGAAATATCAGTCAATAACCTCAGACTTCATTGTTCATCCGTCTGCACACCAACCACTTTGTGTTCTCGTTCTCGTTTCTTCGATCTTATTCACCTTCTGAGACCGGGTTTCTCACGTTCGACTGATGATACATACTACTTATATCTATCGACATCAGTAGGACAAACCACAATAATTTTGTCAGTATTAGAACTCGAAATATTAAAACTTGACAGAAAATATACTAATTCTATATGTGTAAATTATTCACATGTTGTGTTGCTTTTATTTCCGAAAGGAAACTGATCAACGACGTTAGTACTTCTTCAATATTACAATAAGGTATAATGAGTAATCGACAGTTGTCATACAGTCTCATTGATTTACATTTGTCCTTCAAACAAACACTTACTTTTTCTTTTGATCTCAATCAGTTTAATAAGTGGTATATAATTACATAGAGATGAATGTCTTAGACAAATTCCTATTCTGTCATACACAATGTCTTAGTCAAATTTGGTCACTATGTATATAAACAGCAAGTATAATCTGTTTGTAACAAATAATTCAATAGAATGAGGTGTTTGTACGAACTAATGATTCCTTCGTATTTGATTGCCCGCTTACTACGAATTCTAAATATACTATGTTCATTTTCGCTCATCTAGTTGTAATTGTCTGAAATTGCACTATTTCGGGAATTCCTACTTAGTACTGTTACGTTCTCTGCTTGATTGGCACAGAATACGACATTCACCTAACGGCACTCGGATGTACTGAACCCCTATGGTTGCAAATCAAAACACAGGAGAAGCAGAAGTAGCGATTATCGGGTGTGAGGAGAAAACGTACAGAAAAACATGGGTATTAATAGACATTAGCGGTAGTTATAACATCATTATAGTCCGGTCAATTCGCAAGCAGGTAATTTATGCTACCGTCAAATAGTATTAAGACACGTTGATATTCTAGGCAGCTCCATCAGATTCCGAATAGGTGGAAATTCCTAGACTCTTTTACAGCCTCTGGAGGCTCCGTCGTGTCACAGCTCCACGGAAAGGCATTTTCTCCTTGGGTTCACTTGCAGCCCCACAACTGGTTTGCTTGTTGCTGTCTTTCTTGTCCAAGTACTCAGTCTTATGTTCTTTCTGCTATCCTCACCTGTATGTGTCGTTGATGTATCTGTGATATACTCTGATGAAAGACTCACCTGATTATCTTTGATATCCATCATTCTTTCATCTTTGTGGATTTGGTTCGTACGTTTGATACATAACC